AGTATTTGTAATTGAATAATATTTTAGTTATCTTTTCCACATACTTTTTTCAATTTATCCATTTTGTATGTCTAATCTTTCGAGAACATAGCAGATTCTTTAATTTTGCCGATTGCTAGCATTTTTTCTTGAATTCCAAAAACAACGTGTGAAAACGCAACGTATCGTGACCGTACATGCGTAAATGCCGCCTGTCGGCACGGGTGAGTACTGATGCCACAAATAAAAAATGTTATGAGTTTTAATTTGACAAATCGTTCGTTTTGGCGACAAATCACCTTGTATATTTTCTACATTTATGTTTTGTACTTGCTCTTGGTTACTCGAATTGCATTTCATGAACGCAGAATAATTTGCGAACGTATAAATCACGATTTCAAACTTTTTGCATTTCGTAAATATTAATAGTGACCAATCTGTTTGTATTTTAAAAAATTGTAACATGTTTCAATTAAATTAAAAAGAGAATAGTAAATAACTTAGTGTGTATTGCTGTTCATGACATAAATGCTAGAATGCTGTATGTAAATGATATGCAAATTAATATGCAAATTTATGCTAATTAGGCCGCCCACCAGCTATTTTAGATTGTGGAGAACACTGTACACCCATGGAAATTATACCCTGTATGAACTAAACACACAAACTCATCAACAGGGGGGGTGCAGATATAAACTGGAATGGCCCATTTTACTTCTAACAGGTCATTGTAATATACCTTTGAAATAAAAAAAAAAAAAATTTTGCGAGATTTTATTCCTGTCTTGTTTCCCTGTGCGATCCTACGTTTGGACGGCATTTTTTCCAATCAACCACGTGACAACAGGTGTGACCTATGACCTGCAATTGAATTCTGCAGCAGTAGACGGCCGTGTGAGAACGTGTAGATGACAAATAAGCCGGCGACCGGCTTCTAACGAAAACCCTGCCTAAGAGAACATTGCGGATATCCTACAGCATCGAGCATTTATACGAGACCGGAATCATTCGCTTACGATGAAACTAAGTTGAATTTTATTTGTATTTTATAACAATTCAATAAATTTATTTTGTGTACATTATTATAATCACTACTGAGTAATAATCAACAATTGTGAAACGCAGCATGACCGGATTTCGCAACGCTGATCATTTGCAACCGGACGAACTCCGTTTAATTCAATGAAGCAAACAACTGACAATGTTAAAATAAATTGCAGAGGTACGCTAAAATTAATTGAAAACAACCAAATAATTTCAATGAAAAATAAATCACAGAGAGAGGTAACTTGATATATTACCAACTCTTTTGACGCGCTGACCGCTTCTCCGCACGTTTTGTTTTCCTTGTCATAATACTTACTGACTGATGATTTTGTTTTGATTTTTGAGTTTTTTAGCCTGCAACTCGGCCACGACCTTTGCTTTTTCCCGTGAAAAATGGGGAAGTTTACGTCAATTTGACGGACATTCCATCTTTTTTAAACTAGCGAAGCACACTGTTTCGCACTCCTATTTTTTTCATTTGCTGATTTCTATTCAGAAAAATTCGACCGCTCGAAAATGCACCTTAATTTTGCACTCTTAAAACATGTCAGATTTCCAACACTTTAAAACTTTTACGTTAGGAGCTGGAGCTCTCTTCTTGCAGGCGACCGTCGCCGGTAGTACAAAAGCATGTTTTGTACGTACATCCGTGCGCTGATTATCTGCGACTGTCTTAGAAAATCCCTGAATAAGGCGTTACCAAAATCGGAAAAAAATAAAAAAATGCCTCCTTAAAAAACGAACAGAATTCAAATATTTCTTTTAACAAATATGTTGCAGTGGGAAAAATGGGATTGTAATCGCTGGACAAAACTTCTGTGCCTCGCGTTTCGATTCTAGGATTACGCGATTATTCATTATTGTGCGTTCGCTTCCTGGAGTTGGTTCTCAATACTACATAAAAATCATCGAGGATAAATAATTTAATATCCCACTTTGTACTCTTCACGGTAAACCATAGGCTCTGAAATACTCGTAGATTTTTTATTGAAAATACATCGAAGAGAAGCCACGATGTTTTGATCGTGATAAAAGGTCACCTTCCTAGGACCGCCCCCTGTTTAATAATTCATTAGATGACGTAATGTTTACTGGGCATTGACACGTGTTTTTACCGACCCCACCAAAACACTGGTATGAATGACGTGTTTCTGATTTATATATTCAAGAGCAGTTGTTCTGGTACGATTTTACATAAAATGTCTATGTCTATACGTTAACTTTCAATTTCAATAGTCTAGAAAGTATGACAAAGTATGACAAAGCAGTAATTCCCGGTTTAACGCGCAAATATGCAAATTAGCCTTTTTCTCGTCTTCTATTTTTGGTGAATTCTTGGGTTTTAAATTAAAATAGCTGATAGACGCTTTGGCCATTTGCCTCGAAAATTTCACACATTATTGACAAGGTGTTTCCCCTTCAAAATGCGTCCGGACAGTTTATTACGGCGAGTGGAACAAAAATAACAAGTCCGCAATTAACATGGATATATAAATTATGCAAAAATAGAAAAGAGTGAACTTTGAGGTCATGCTGTGCGACTTTGAAAGCCGTTAGAGAGATGAGTGGACGCATTTGAATTAGTAGTATACCAAGGTATCCAGTGATGTAATTTTACCCACAAACGGACTTGAAGTTTTTAAGCTAATTTTTTTTAAACCACTTTTGTCTAAAAAAGCATATTTTTGACCCAAAATCAAAAACGCATTCTGGATATTTAAAATAAAGACAAGTTTACACAAAGTTTGTATAATAAGCTTTCAGAAAATATATAACATGTTGGATATATAATACCATCTTCATTGTCTAATTACTCAATTAAAAAGCAAGCCAAATAAACTGCATCTCTACCTTAATCACCTAATTAAAATAATTAACACTGATATCTCAATTACTGATCATCACATTTGAATACAATTTGGTACATAAATGTTCTAGAACAATAGACAGGCCCAATTAATTTTTGGTTGAAATTTGTTAATATTAATTCTCTAATAACAGTAATAGTTTTTTGTTCTAATCACATTTCAATGAAACTTGGTACATAGATATTACATTATGCAGGCCTTATTAGTTTTACACTCAAATCTGTTCATGGTTTTCAGCTATTCCATGAATATCTCAAATACAAGTAATTTTTAATTAATTTTTAATGTGTCTTCAATACTCTCAGCACACTGGAGTTCTTTCTAAGCTTTCTTTGATTTTAAGAAAGGGATGAATTAAAAAATGGTCTGATAATGTATGGTATATGATGGACCCAATGTCAAGACAACGTTGCCCCTTGTACATCTTGAATTGCTTATCTTTTCAGGTATTGACTCTCATAAACGTCCTTCAAGTTTGCCACTATCTACATTAACAAACAATTTGATTCATTCAACGTCAACTAGTCCTGGGTCACCAGATAGCACGAAGTTGCCCACTAATTTTGAGATGGGTTTCAAACTAGAAAAAGATGAAGAGGAAACTGAAATCAATGTAAATGAGACATCATTCTCTGTGTTTGTTTGCTGTAGATAGTAATTTTGTCTTTCTTAGTTCAGTCCAGTCCCAGAGTCTATCTTTCTGATCTTCTGTGTATCTCATTCTTTGATGGCCATAAGTCATAAGTTTTCCATTGTGAATGGAAATACCTGTCTTCAGTTATTCTGTATGTTGCTTAAACCATAGACTCCAAAAATGATTTTTAGGGTCTATGCTTAAACCTAAATATATGGAGTCTTTTCTTGTAAGACAATTTAATTTAAAGACTGTTTAATGCAACCATATGCATTATTATTATTATGATATTGTCTTCACCACAGGGAGCTTCTCGAAAAGTGTTCAAAAATAAATCCAAGAAGAAGATACCCAAGGTGAGTGAGTGATCAGTCCTGGTTGCTATTATGACTGTCATATAGGCCTGTCGCAAACAATGTCTGTTCACTGCGTGTATGGTTAGTACTTTTATTGACGCATTGTCATCGAGTGACCATGACAATGTCCTGAACTGTTGCCATGCTTAAAAAAACTACTGAATTTACAGTCAATATTATCACCAAATTAAAATTTCAGGTTAAACATTCACTTGACGTATTCTTCACTCGTACTGATGATGCACATTCATTTTGTGATGCTGAAGAAAATGATGATGGTGAATCCTCATCAAGTTCAAGGTAAACCTTTTTAGTCCCTGTTCGGACGAAGTCTGAAAACGGGGACTTATAATTCGGTCTCCATCCGTTCGTCCGTCTGTGCATTCGTTCGTTTGTGTGTCCGTCCGAAGTCATATTTCAGAATCCGTTGGACCGATTCCGTTCATTCTTTGCATGTGCCTAATACTTTATGTGGGACATATGCACATGTAGTGGTTTTGCGATTTGATTCAAAATGGCCGACTGGCAGCCATCTTGTTTTTTCAAATGTGGTATCTTGGACATGCTTTGTCAGTTTTCATTCAAATTTGGCACACACTTTATACATGTTAGGATACATGTTCATGACAATTTGTTTTAAAATCTGATCAAGGATGGCCGATTGACAGCCATCTGACTTTTTGGCCTTACTACTATATTTCCAAGATTTATGTAACATTTTCATTTGTATTTGACACATACATCATACATGTCACTTTGTTTCATAATCATTTCAAAGATGGCCGAATAACAGCTGTTTTTATTTTTGGCCATATTACTATATCTCTGTCACCCATGTATCATTTTTATTGATATTTAGCATGTCATAAATGGATACATGTAAATGTCAATTAAATTTGCAATTTGATCAAATATGGCCGACTGGCGACCATCTTGTTTGTTTAAAATGTGATAACTTAGACATGCTTTCACTTGTGATCTATGTTTTCTTTGCTATGTCTTAAACTGGAGGGGTCGCCATGCAACACATGTTTGAATTTGATGTAAATAAGCAATCTGTTGTATCTGCCACTTTGGACTCAAGTTTCAAGGACACGCTCGTGACAACCCCTCCACTTTAATATGACAAGCACAAAGAGAACTTTCAAAAATTTAACTAGGACTGTGTCATTTTCAATGACTTGTGTTGTGATTGATGTATGCTTGCCTTATTGTATCTAGCTATTGTGTATTGTTACAATGTATGTATGGTTATGTTTTGAGTTTTTGGTGTATTAAATGCATACATGCCTTTTTTTGTGGTATTGTTTCATGTTTGAATTCTGAAGAACACTTCAAAAGTACAAAGGTTATCAACTTTCATATTCTCTGAAGTGAAGACTTTGTTAACTTGGTACATATTTTTATTTCATAGGAATGCATTTCAATTATTGGATGACAACAGTCCATTCACCATTCCTGAACACCTACGTGAAGATACTGCGCAACTTGAAACAAATACGGGTACTATCCCACAGGCTGTACCAACTGTTGATGTCGTAGCAAATGAATCATTAAGAGAAACTCTTTTCTCGTAAGTGTTACTGCGTCATGGTGGCTGAATACATCATTAAGAGATTAAGTTTCTGAGATTTGTTCAATGTTGCATGCCACTTCATTTCATAGCTGATTGATGCAATTGACGTCACAAACTGTATTATCCAAGAACTAAAACTATTGTTAAACTAAAATAACTAATTACATCTATTGACAAAATGAACTTTTCTTGTACATGCTGGAACCCTTGTCATGTATGCTTGCCAAAGGTACTATGTGCCTGTTATTTTCTGAGTAATGAAGTGCATGAAATTAGAAAGCTATGCCATCTAGATGACAGATATAAAAAAAAGAAAAAAAAAAAGACAGTCATCCCCAGACATGCTACTCTCTCCTGGGTTGTGGATCTGATTGCATTGGTGTTGTGCATTTGCAGTTGTAATGGATGAATGCACTCAAAGATAGACAAAATTATTTTCCTGTCTAACATTATATTTTCAAAATTTCAGTTGTCTTTAATAAGGTTGTTTTATTGCATAATGTGAGTAAGTATTGTTACTACCGTAGGTCTCGAAATCATATTCTGCTGAAAAAAGAAAATTACAAAATTTGTTTTTCACTGTGTACTGGCGATATTGTGGCATTCATATGATTGTTGTTTTCTCTCCCAGGTATTTTGCATCCATTCTTGACAAGTATGGACCGCTAAGTATAGATGATCCCAAACTAATCTCAGAGTTTAATGAGACATTTCCTTCAGAAGCCAGAGATCTTGTCAACAGCTGTGGCGGACTTTCACAGTTTCTTTTAAAATCATTGCAGTTTGCCATGGTTGAGAATATAGTGTGTCTTCTCAAAGACTCTGTTAAATGCAAAGAACTTGCTATGAAATATAAAAAGTCAAAAGGTGATACAAGTCCTGTGAATACAGACTATGGTAATGGATTGTCAACGTTCAAGCAGGCAGTTTGTAATCCTGTCCCCTGCACTCAGTATGAAATGTATCACACTTACGTGGATTCTGCAACCACTTGTAATTTAACCATAGAGAATTTTCCAGCACTTTCAGCTGAAATTTCAAATGAAGATGCAGTGATTAATGCTAGCACAGAGTCACTTAGTGATAATATTGCTAATGACGATGAAACTTCGAAAGTTATACGTGACATTGCATATATTGATGCTATACCAGAGTTTGTACCACGGCAGAAATCAGCTGTGAGTCAGAGCATAACAGAGCCAATAGTTAAAAGCACTTGTGGATTAGACCAAAATGCTGAATCGGATGCTTCATTTCAGGATGCTTTGTGTGATTTACCTACTGAAGATAAGACTTCAATGTCTCAAAAGGCTACTAATTACCTCATACAATCATTTTATTCACAACGTTGTCAACAAACTGAATATAATCCTACAAGTAGTTATGTGGAGGCTGTTGACTCTGGAATTGATCCAGGATTACAAGCTGAAGTAGGATTAAGTTGTACAGGAATGGGATTAAGTGAGATAGATCTCAGAACAGGAACGAGTGGGATAAATGACTTCTGTGATGCAGTTAGTGAAAATAAGACACAGAATGATAATACTAATTTTTGTAACAACAATGAAATATCTAGTGAGTTGGAAAACTTTGATGATGCCAAGGATTCTATTATATCAAAAAACAAGTCTCGTATTTTACCCATGAAAAATAGCATAAAATACAAAAATGCTTGTGTGCAAGCATTTGTATGTCCACTTCACAATTCTGTGGGTGTGAATACTGAGCCGTATGAGGATACTTATAAACAACTCTATGAGAATATCATTCAGGAAAAGCATAGGATGCAGGTAAATGTGTTATTCAAGTGCTTGTTAACATACATGTACCATTCAACTTTGTCTGGTATTTTTGCATTTTGAAGTCTGACGGTATCATTTATGTTGTTGAAATATTATTCTATGAATCTTAGCATAATGAGAATTGGATGTGTGACTAGTACGCATATCGGTAATTTCATTGATAATTTGAAACTCATAATGTTGATAGGAGTGGTCCAGAATCATCTCTTGCAGCTCCAATTTACCTTATAATCGGGTATATTATCGGTATCTATCCACTCAAACATAATGAGTAGATGTTTGAGGGTTTAAATTTCAACTCAGACAGTAATTTTTGGACTACGATACAGTTATATAATCTAGACTGGCTTTATAAGATGTATTATGCATCTGCCACTGAAAACCTGTTGATAAAATAATAATACATTATTCATTCAAAATTTTGTTGGCAAAACCCAACATATACTACATGTGTGGATTGTTGTCACATGTCATAAAGTATAAACAAAAGTATTCAAGTTGATACAGTGTCTGTATAACAATCAAACCGAGAACATCTAGACATATTGTTCTCAAGAAAAAAAAGGAACTGATGATGAGGCTCTGTGCTATTTCCTGTTACTAGTATTCTACAATCTGAATTTGCTATTTGGTATTGTTTTACAACCATGATTTCATTATGTGTAGGGAAAATGTTATAATAAATTTTTTTTTGGATACAGTAACTCAAACAGTTATCTATCTGATCATCTCAAAATTTGGGAATCTTAATTTACTGCTAGTTATTGGATTATTACTCCATGTTACATTGGTGAATGTATAATAATGTAATTTATGAGAAGCAAATACTCCAGCCATTGGGAATGGCATTCACTAGATGGGTAGATTACCAACAGCTCTCAGCTTGCTTAGTCTGATTAGAAACAAATTGATGTAAAATGGTATATGCTTGTATGCTACGTTATGGGATTTCGGCATGTGTTGAAATTTGTAATCCTATGTGTTTGCAGAGGGATTACAGCAGTTGCGTTCACATTAGTCTGGACCCATTCAGCTCCTACTCAGCTCGTGCCGAAATTACGCTCTCATTCGTTCATCAGTTATTTGACCTAAACGTTGAAAATGATACGCTTAAGATGATAATAATAATTGCTAATAATAATAATAATTGTCTGACCCTTTACACACGTGTTTCAGCACATGCCGAGATCTCTAACATGAACGCCACTCAGTAGTAGGACCGCTCAGTCCTCTGTGGTAAGAGGATCAATGTACTCTCTAAGCTGATAAAAATGTATGACATGTCATTGTTGCACACAAAATTTGCTGCAGTGCAACTAATTTGGTAAAATGACATTCACATTTTATAAACAACATTTGTATAGAAAAAGAGGCTACAACATTTTTGTTTATGTTTTAGGGATTCTATTTTGACTTGGGATTCCTAGAAAATCAGTTAGGGGACACAGTGATGAGGATATTTTGTTTATTAATATATAAACATTACTTTCTAAGTACTGTATCTACCCTATTAGTACCACATGTAGAAGACAAAGATGTGTCTATGGTCAAAATATTAAGTGGAGGGGTTGTCACCTGTGCACATGTGGCAATTGAGTTCTAATTGACTGTAAAAACGCAAAGAATCATGTGTAGACAATTGTTTATAAACAACACGCTATGGCCGTATGTGCAGGTGACGACTCCCTCGCTTTAAATGATCTAGTAAGCAATACTTACAACTATTGGTTCATTGGAGCAAAACAGTAATTCTTGTTCACATTGCTGTTTATTAAGATTTCATATTTATTAAATTCATTCCAATTTATATCTGCACCCCCCCTGTTGATGAGCTTGTGTGTTTACTTCGTACAGGGGATAATTTCCATGGGTGTATAAGTCATACAAAGTTTTATTTCCAAATCGCCATTCACCATACAGTAATGGAAATCCAAAACTATAGTTCCTACTTATGGTGTTGATGAGTTCCATTGTGCCACCATACAGAGTGGGATTTCCAAATATACATGTAACTTTCATCATATGCTAATTTACCAAGTTCAAAATTTTATATTTGATAATGGAAATCCACACTAGTCCTGATTCACGGTGTTGATGAGCTCATTCGTGCCACCATCCTTATCTAATTTCAGTAATAACTATTTCATACTGGTGCAGATATAAACTGGAATGGCCCATTGCTGTTTATGATTTATGGTTATACATTGCATTCATATTGCTGTTTGTAATGATATCAGATTCTGATTCTACCCAGTACATGTTATCCCTGTTAACATTTTTTTCAGGTTCTACATTGTGTTCACTCATTCACATTGTTTACAGTGATTTTGATTCTACACTAGATTCAACCTTTGTTTCTATCTGAAAATATGAAGTGTAAGCTAATGAAGGTGAACTATAAATTCATCAGGCATTGAAAAATCAGTTTCGTCCAAGATATTACTAGCTTACAGGTGTTTTGATTTTCTGTTCCGAATTTTTTTCTCCACCCTATATCACTACTGAAAACACAAGATGCAACATCAAGCAGCTTTAGACAGGTTTGAACAAATGAAGAATAAGACAAGTACAGAAATACAAATGTTACAAAAAGATTTGGAAGACCGGATTGACATGGAAAAGGTAACTAAAGGCTTTAAAACATTCCTGATTCATTATTATATTAAATCTGTTGGCTGTACCAGGGTTTTTTTCTAGAAAAAAATGCAAGAGGGAGCACTATAACAAGTGGGGGAGATATGGTTTTCCCTAACAGGGCGTGGAGTTAGAATGGAGCATTCTATTGCTTCCTAGGGGCAAAAATTAGTATCAGACAGTCTTCAACTGTGACCACTTTTGATCCCCGGTCAATCAGAAGGGGCGTAAGGGTAAGGAAGCGCATGGTCATGGCATGAGGGCGCTGTGCCCCTGTTCCCTTGTTTAAAAAAATCAACAATAAATTACATTCGATATAACGTGCTTAATCTGAATCTAGGAGTTTGATTGGCTGAAGCAATGTCTTGTATCTGGCACTAGAACACCTATGGTCTAGCCCGAATCTGAATAAACTGGCTTAAATATCTAACTGAATCATCTTGTAAAATAATATAACCGGATTATAACAACTATAATTCAGTGTTTATTTGCTAGTTGAAGACTGTTGTAAAACTTTATTTAATAAAAAAAATGTATTTAATAGAACCAGCAAAAGATTATTTGGGACTTAAAGCAGCAGCATGATATGGAAAACAAGCAAGTTGAGAAAGACAAAAATGAAGTATCCAAAAGATTCCAGCTCCAGATATCAATGCTGAATGAGAAACAAGAAAGGTATTTTGTGCAATCATTTTGTAGTTGCTTATACATTGTAGCAACTGGCATACAAGCTTGTAGTTTAAAGTGCCTCCAAAACACTGATGTCCAAAATTGCTTATTGCTATATCAGCATTATTATGACGGTATAGTTTATACATCATGTACATTGACCATTTGTGTTCAACAAAGAAAGGTACAAAGACATGCATCCATTTTTATTTTCATATTTTTGTGAGGTTTACTTGTTCCTTGATACAGTTTCACAAATTTTGTTTAAATTTGGTTACAAAAGCAAGACATAATAGCTTGCGTGTTTTCTTCAGTTATTCTGGGATTTTGATGAGCAAAATACCAAGAATTTGTCATTCTTTTTTAATTACAATTTTTACGATGAGTTAGCTGTGCTCATTCTTCAGGGTGTTGGGTGTCTTCAAAGGTTTCTAATTTCAGTCCTGTAGTGATGTTATAATGATGTCATGCTTGTGAATGTCAGTTTCTGAGAACTTGTGTCTGGAATATCTATCTAATTGTGTTTACAGACATGCTGCTGAATTGAATACTAAGGACGAAGATATTTCTCATCTTCAAAACCTTTTACAAAGTGAACGGTAACGTATATTCATTCATACCACTCATGTGACCCATTGTTCTAGTTGTATGTTTATTCCTGTAAATCTATACATGTCTCTTGGTAAACCATTTTAGTTGAATTAATATTCAGAGTGTAATTGCTACAGATAACTAACTTGTAAACAAACATTGTATTGTCCACATACCTGTACATGACTGGTAAACCACTATTGCTAAATCAGACCTTGCACATTGGCTAAGACTGTGCAGCATTAGTCAAGGTGCAACACACATCAACCACATCAGGTGGAGCATTTATTGACCAATAGACTCATTATAAATGTATTAATGTCACATCTTATGCTTTGTCATTTGCTCATTCATAATTCAGTGTACAATAGACTCATGGTTAAGTCTCTGTGTGTACGTTCTGAGCTACATCTTTAACACACCTGGAATTTTCTTCAAAAGTAGGGTTGTTGATACATATTGCCCAAATTTGACTCAACATGGCTGATTGATGGCCATTTTGTTAGTCCCCGTTTGGACGTAGTCAGAAAACGGGGACCTAGTTTTGCCCTGTGTGCGTCCGTGCGTGCGTCTGTGATCTCGAACATGCATGGACCGATTAAGTTCAAACTTCACTCATACATCACACATTATATGGGACATATGCACATGCATTTTTTTCATGATCCGATTAACGATGGCCGAATAGCGGCCATTTTGAGGCCGAAAATGCATTGAAATCGCACATTTTCACCATTCCGGTCCCGGATCTCAGTTATGCATGGACGGATTTCGTTCAAATTTGGTACATACATTAAACATAATAGGACCTTGATGCACGTCATTTTTTTTTCCGGATCAAGTTTGAAATGGCCGACTGGCAGCCATTTTGTTTTAAAGAATTCAGTTCTGGATCCGTATCCAAGACATGTCTGGATTGATCAAGTTCAAACTTCACACACACATGGTACATCATGTCACAAATAGATATGTGCATTTGTTTCATGATCCGCTTAACAATAGCTGAGTGATGGCCATTTTAAGGTCGAAAATGCATCAAAATCACGTATTTTCACAATTCCGGAACCGGATCTCAGTCATGCATGGATGGATTTTGTTCAGATTTAGTACAATGTGTTGTACATATGCAGGTGCATTTCTGTCATGATCTGCTTTGAATGTATATGTCACTCAAATATGAACGGAACGGGGACGTGTCATTGACAATGACTTGTTCTCATAAATACTTGGAGCAATTTTATACATTGTTAGTACATCATGGCATACATACACACTTACAATAATTTTCTCTCATGATCAAAGATGGCTAACTGATGAACAGTTGTCCTTAGCCAGAACTTGGACATGGTATGGATAGTTGTGGCAAATTTTTGATAGATTAACATATCATTTACATGTACTATGTCTTAAAATTGTATTTTCGACAAAACTTTTAATTTTGAGTGACTTGGTCAAAAATCAAATTTAAAAGTTAGGACAGTCATGAATTGCGCCATATATCAACTAAGTTAATACCGTAATTGTCTTCACTTCAATAAATCCCATCTTGCACTGATATTCAAATTATGCTTTGAAGTACCAGTATGTGAGATTTGATGTGTGGGGTGCATCTCAGACTCCTCTTAATGGAAAATGCTCAACATTAAATTGAATGTTATTTGGAGTCTTTGCAATTACCATGTCTGTATGTATATCTGTTCCACCATTATTTCAAAAACGGCTGGTCAGATTTCAAAGAAACTAGGTTATTATATGCTCTGGGATAATGCGCAGACCTGATTTTTTTTGGGTAAAAATCTGTGCATATTAATTGACTAATTTACATAATCATTAGTCAATTAGTACAAATCATCACATTTCAATGAAACTTGGTACGTGGATGTCAAAGTGTCATAGATGTCATAATTTTTAATAATTTTTGACTCCCATGTGCGAAGCACAAAATGGGAGTCTTTGCAGTTAGTGTGTCTGTATATGTGTGTGTGTGGTGTGTATGTGTGTATGTGTGTCCGACTGTTCCACTGCTATCTCAAAAACCATACATCGGTTTTTGATGAAACTTGGTGCATAGATGCTCTGGGCCAATGCGCAGATTTGATTAGTTTTTGGTAAAAATCCGTGCATATTAATTACCTAATTTGCATGATAATTAGCTATTTTTTAGTGGTTCCATGACTGT